TCAGTCCTTCTTGTATGTAAATTGGTAACCTTCAAGTGCAGTTATTACTAATATTATGATGTCATCAACCTTGTAACCTTTTTATGGATTTATTGTAAAAAAGTGTCATGTATTGCAACTGTTTTGCTAATACTCATTATTATATGTGTAAGTTATTTTAGTGAAACATACCCAGCAACAACCATCAGATTTCCCTGCAAAACACACGCTCCAACATAGCATCTTGGTACTATCATGTGCTGTAATGATGTCCAATGTCCAGTGTTCGTATTATAACATTCAACTGTTGACAGGTGTTCATTACCATCATAGCCACCACAAACATAAATAATATCATTCACAACAGAAACACCAGCACCTATAAACATAAACAATATACATAGATTATAAACAATAGCAACACCATCTATAGACATAAACAATATACATAGATAGTATCATAAACAACAGCAATACCAGCAGTTATAAACACAAACAATATACATAGATAGTATCATAAACAACAGCAACACCAGCAGCTATAAACATAAACAATATACATAAATAGTATCATAAACAACAGCAACACCAGCACCTATAAACATAAACAATATACATAGATAGTATCATAAACAACAGCAACACCAGCACCTATAAACATAAACAATATACATAGATAGTATCATAAACAACAGCAACACCAGCAGCTCTAAACATAAACAATATACATAGATGATATTATATACAACAGCAACACAAGCACCTATAAACATAAACAATATATATAGATAATATTATAAACAACAGCAACACCAGCAGCTATAAACATAAAAAATATACATAGATAGTATCATAAACAACTGCAACACCAGCAGCTATAAACATAAACAATATACATAGATAGTATCATAAACAACAGCAACACCAGCAGCCATAAACATAATCAATATACATAGATAGTATCATAAACAACAGCAACACCAGCACCTATAAACATAAACAATATATATGGATAATATTATAAACAACAGCAACACCAGCACCTATAAACATAAACAATATACATTGATAATATTATAAACAATAGCAACACCAGCACCTATAAACATAAACAATATACATAGATAGTATCATAAACAACAGCAACACCAGCACCTATAAACATAAACAATATACATAGATAGTATCATAAACAACAGCAACACAAGCACCTATAAACATAAACAATATACATAGATAGTATCATAAACAACTGCAACACCAGCAGCTATAAACATAAACAATATACATAGATAATATTATAAACAACAGCAACACCAGCAGCTATAAACATAAACAATATA